CGTGGAGTCTTGTGGGCAAATATTCTACTTGGTGAGCTACTGGCATTAAGGTTGTGAGCGAGCGATTGGGCTGCTGCATAAATTAAGTTTGTTCTGGAGCCCTCCTTCCTGAGCCGAGACAGAAATATGAGAGCTGGAGACTAGAAAACTGAGCTGGCTCACACTGACTCAGCTTGGAGGGAACGCTCAGTAGGGTCTCATGCCACAGAGCCCACCTTCTAAAGAGCCATTTCTCCAAGGGAATTAATTTCTGTTGGCCAGGAGATCAATTGCAATGGCAGGAGAGCTTCAGGTGCTACCTGGAGGTTGGCGACCCTACTAGAAACCCCCCGGGCCTTTCCACTGTGTACAGCTAAGCCCCATTTATCCTTCGTTTTGCACTTTTAATTGGGGCCGCAGCACAATGACAAAGTCGGAGAAGGGTTTCCCAAGCTCGCCTGCAGCGTTACCGAGACCCACAGGAAAGCCTTTTTCAACACCTCCTGCTCCCCATCCTGAGGCCTGCACAGAGCTTTCCTTGAAACCCCGTGCTAGGGAGGCGACGGGAGTCTCAGGGGCTGAGCAAGCCTTCCAGAGGCCACAACGGCTGACCAACACGTATGGCACCAAACTGAGCCCCACCGCCACACTCTGGTTCGAAGGGCAGCCAGCATCCAGGCTCTCCGCCCAGAGATGCCTGGCTGCATTCTCAGCGCCAGCCGAGCCGTGGTAAATTCCGAAAGCGAGACCACTTCGAGCCCATGCCATCAGCCGAATCCCAGATGCCGAGACCCTGGGCGCAGGCGTTGGAGCTGCCATCGTTTCACAAAGCTGCCTTATGCCGAATCGGACCCTCAGTCCAAAAGGTCAGTACTGTCCACTCTGGCGGGCAGTGGCTCTCCAGGGACTCAGGCGGAGGTCTTCCACATCACTTACTGCCAGTGTTCCCTCTAAGCTGAGTTAGTGCGAGCTAGCTCACAGTTCTTTAGCCTCCGGCTCGCACATTTTTATCTTAGCTCAGGAAGGAGGGCTCCAGAGCAGACTAATTTACACAGCAGCCAAATTGCTCGCTCACAATTTTAATGCCAGGAGCTCACAGAGTATAATGTTTGCCCACAAGACTCCGCAGCTTAGAAGGGAGCATTGCTTACTGCCCGGGATTTTAACCAGAGATGCCAGGGATTGAACTTGGGACCTTCTGTGTGAAAACCAGAGGCTCTCCCCCTGAGCCACAGCCCCTCTCCGATACTCTGAGGCTGTCCCTTCGCTCGTGCTGAGCCACTGAGAGCAAATGTTCTTTCTATAAAAAGCGGCCATAATAACTAAACGGGAAACCCTCCAGAACCAGGGGCAGTGAACCTTGGAATACCGGCACTAGGCGTCGACAGCAGGGAAAGGCCTTGGCCTCCTGGGCTCCCAGCTGGCTACTGGGTGAAACTGGACTAGATGGACCACTTCTCTGACCCAGCAAGGTGCCCATGAGGCTCTCAAATGGTTTCCAACCCCAAAGCATCCAAGCCTTAGAAATCCAGCACTCACGTTTGATGCAGATCAGCTAACCCTCCTTGAGAGCTCTCTCCTGTCCCCACAATTGGAGCGTCTGAAACAGAGTAAAAGGGCTATGAGTATCTGCTTACGGGCAAAACGCAGATTTTTTTAAACCCGTGTCAGAGACTGTAAATCTCTGAAGGGATGACTGAATCCCCGTAAACTAACGCGGGATACAAAATCACGATCTTATAAGCCGGCAGAGCTTCCTGGCATTCTATTGCTAGACAAAAACAAAACACAACAAAAAAGTGGCGAGTTAGAGTTTATTCCCACCCCAAAGCAACTGCCTTCCAGCACGAAAGAGAACAGGGACCCTGCCCTTTTCATCCCCCAACGCTGGCCGCTTTTTCCACCCAGGGCGACCTAGAAGGCAGGCCGAGATGCCCTTCCAGCTTGAGACCAATCTGGCTCTTGGGCGAGGGGCCCTGGGGCTCTACCAAGGATGACTCCCCCTTCCAGG